GGTAGAAGAAGTGAAGACAGTGGTTATCGTAATCGCCGACGTGGCAACGACAAACCTCTTACTCTAGACGTGAGTCTGTCAACTCGGTCGAGGCTGGTTACTCCACAGATGACAACGAGACCCGTGAGCATCACGTCAATATGGGACGTGATCTTTCTGGTATGAAATGTTATCGATGTCTCAAACGTGGACATTCTGCTAAAGATTGTCAACAACCAGAACCAGCCGAGCTCTCAGCACGTTGTCGAATCTGTGGCAACCCACAACATCAAGCCGACACGTGCAGAATCAAGAGCGACAAATTGATCTGCCATCGCTGCAATAATCCTGGTCATTTGGCTTACGTATGTACGTCTAAGACGCCTACATCTTCACCGTCTAGCACTAGGCGACAACCAACTCCGAGATCTACGGCTAGGGTCCAAATGGTTATTAATGAACGTAAACTACATAGTCAACCCCAACGATTGGTCTGTACGGCTTCTCCATCGTCTGGTCAAGATGCGTCAAGGGCTACTAGTCCTTCTCTCATGGTGATTGGTAACATCTGTGTTGAAGACAACTTCATACCAGCACTGTTCGACACGGGAGCAGAGGTTTCCCTCATCTCAAGACAAGCATTTCAACGACTGGCCCCCACTGCAGAAATCTACACCAACTCTGCCCACCACATTATAGTGGCTGACGGTGGTGCTTTGAACGTCGACGGTATCGTCATGCTCAAGGTATCTACTAACCGTATTACGATCTACGACGAGTTCATCGTGGTGTCTTATGACTTATATGTCCCGGTACTACTAGGTTGTCCTACCATGGGTAAGTACGCACCACCATCCGCGTCAGCCCACACGGTATGCATGTTACTACCAACGACGAGCACGACTTCAGCCCTTACTCGGCTCCTAAAGAAGTACGGTTCAATGACAACTACTCTACAGCTAACCAGCTGGAGAAAGACCAAGAAGAGATCACGGCTATGTACGTGATCAACCACATACGTCAACTATTCCTACTTCAAGACTCTGGTACCGAGCCATCTGAAGCGGATCTACACAAGGCCCTCTTCCCTACGACGAGGACTTACCCAGACGACCTGTTTGTGGGCCAGGCCGACTGTAACCAATCGGGAAAAGATCCTACGACGAACGACTACTATGTTCACTATACTTCTGCTGCATCGACGAGAACATCCCCCAACGTGGATTTGGCTACCCCCCACCATGACGAGAACCACGACAACGACGATGTGGTAGACAACAACTTCGACGACAATCTACCTCCTTGGGATGTCCTCTTACGTCATTGGATGTGGGATGTCAAGGCACCCTTAGGTAGAGTATGTGTACGGTTACCCTGGTTGGGAGAAGAACGTCCACCTAACAACTTCAATAACGCTGCACATCGTGGTACTGCTTCTACGAGACGACTCTCTCCAGAACAACGTGATGCTTTTGAGGCAGCACTACAAGTATATACTACTCGAGGATTCTGCACAATCGTCAAGAACAACTATGTCGACGGTACTCTCAAGCCCCCAACCTTTGACGAATGTCAGACGGCATGGGATGTTATGACACGTGATACGGCCTTGGAGGGCACTGTCGTTATTAAGCCCTACCATTATACGCCATCACACATGGTCTTTAGAGACAGTCATCCTACGACGCCTTGTCGTATCGTTCTAGACTTCCGTACGTTGAACAAGTTCACTAAACGTGGCGGTAAGACCCAGAACGACCTACAAGGAGTACTACTACAGCTGAGGAGCTTTCCCTACTTCATCTCTGCCGACGTCTCCAAGGCATTCTGCCAGATGAAGGCTTCATTATACGACGTTGGCTATTCCAGTTATACGTGTATTGGGAACTATACTGTCCTATGGTCGAGTATCGCCTTTGGCAGTAATAATGCCCCCTGTATGCTAGAGGCAAGTAGCCACGACGTGGTACTGGAAATGGAACGACTTCTAACGTCTTCTCTGTCTGTACAACGTGAGGTACACAAGGCCGAAGTTACCGGTTCACCACCACGACTACTCTCTAACGTGCAGATCGAGCAGGCACTATTAATGCCCTCTGCGACTGGCGTAGAGTATCTATTACGAGGTCCTTCTATACCTACTAGAATGTTACTACTCAAATACGTTGATGACCTCTATTACGGTGGGAGAACTAGAGAGGAAGCACGACTTGGTTACGAGTTCGGCTCTCACGTCTTCACTGGACATGGCTTCGGTAATGACCCCGTTAAGTCCTTCTGCAACTGGTTGACTGCGGACGGTAACGACGGTGCCAAGAAGTCCGTCCTTGGATACCTGCTCAAGTTAGACGTCGACAAATTCCACGCGGTTTACTCCGGCTACGTGCCAGATGGTGAAGTCACTAAGTTACAGGCTTGTGCAGCCTTGGCTTCTCTCTACGACCCTCTTGGCCTCTACGTTGAGCTAGACATACAAGGACGACTACTTTGGCGAGAAGTCTGTCAGGCTCATAAAAACTGGGACGACAAGCTCAATGATGATTTGGTCCATCGGATCAAAGTATGGGCAACGTCGTGTACGGAAATAACTACGTTAATAGGCTTCGA